TTGGCAACGACGTTGTAAAACAAGCCGCCCCCCCCGGTGTTTGCCATCGGGGTTGGGTATTCGTCGCTTGGCAACGACGTTGTACAACAAGCCAATGCACTTCGTGAACTCGGCAACCGGTTTCTTTTACACCTCTGTTTTGCTTTGGCGGTAACTACGAATGGTGGTCGAGTGGATCATGTTGTGCAGGGTCCTCACTCCGCGCAAGGGGAATGATCGCACCACGTCGTGTTAAAATGGTCAAGCACCCTCGAGGCAGTTACACAGTGCTTACAACTGCCTCTGGAAGTGAAAGCACCAGAAAATATATAAAGTCATACGCAGCTGTCATCCGTACGCAAGGAAGTAAGCACAAGATGCCGAACACCCTTAGCAGGATGCAGCGCACCCTTCATGCGACTCGCCGAATATCTCACGGCGCTTCGCGCTTGATGATGTGAGAGCCTGGTCCGGTGAGATCCCGGCGTGCTGCGTTCCGGCTATGTAGGGATGCGAGGTCACGGTCTAACGACACGGCATGCACGACTATGAGTGCACCCCCTCGGTGATTGCCATCGGGATTGGGTTTTCGTCGGTTGGCAACGACGTTGTAACACAAGCTAATTCACTTCCTGAACTCGGCAACCAGGTTATCGTTTTTTTTTACCTCTGTTTTTGTTTCGGCAGTAACTATGAATGGTGGTCGAGTAGATCATGTTGTGCGGGGTGGAGAACCCTCACTCCGCGCAAGGGGGATGGTCGCACCACGTCGTGTTAAAATGGCCAAGCACCCCCGAGGCAGTTGCACAGTGCTAAGGACTGTCTCTGAAAGTGAAGTGCCAGAAAATAAATTAAGTCATACGCAGCTGTCATACGCACGCAAGGGAGTAAGCACAAGATGCCGAACACCCTTAGCAGGATGCAGCGCACCCTTCATNCCCCCCAACCTGTGTGATGGGTGCTTGCACAACCAAGAGGTGGGCTTGACGTTGTGGCTGCCTCCCAACCTTCCGCATTCGCGCTTGTACAACCAAGACATCTGGCCAAGGTTGAGGCCTCCTCCCAATCCCCCTCTACAACCCGCCCCTACCCCCCCCCCCCCCCTCGGTGTTTGCCATCGGGATTGGGTTTTGGTTGCTTGGCAACGACGTTGAAACACAAGCCCATTCACTTCTTGAACCCGGCAACCAGGTCACCGTTTTTCTTTTACCTCGGGTATTCTTTTTTGGCGGTAACCGTGGTCGAGTGGATCATGTCGTGCGGGGTCGAGAACCCTCACTCCGCGCAAGGGGGATGATCGCACCACGTTGTGTTAAAATGGTCAAGCACCCTCGAGGCAGTTACANTGTCAGGATGCAGCGCACCCTTCATGCGACTCGCCGAATATCTCACGGCGCTTCGCGCTTGGTGATGTGCGAGCCTGGTCCGGTGAGAACCCGGCGTGCTCCGTCCCGGCTTTGTAGGGATGCGAGGTCAATGGTCCAACGACTGCGGCCTGCACGACTATGAGTACACCCCCCTTCTCTCTAGCTCATGATGATGAACACCAACCCCCCTTGTTCGGGTGCGGTAGCTCGTCAGAGGCCGAAAGAGAAAGAAGGCTGACTCAAGACCCTCAAGACCCTGTTGCTTAGAGAGTGAGAGACATGCGGTAGGCAACACCATCGCCATTCAGCATGCCCATCAACACATTTTATCCGCGTAACCCCCGGGAGGCCCCGTAGACTCTATTCTCTGCCAAGTACCCCAAACAGCCCCCCTGCTCGGTACGCGATACGATCTGCGAAATCCTCGTTACGACTATCATTGCCAGATGAAACGGCAGAGAGAACAATCAAAACCCCAATGCCAAAATTAATCATTCACCATTCCAATTCAAACGACTCTGTCAATAGCACATGTCCCGCGAAACCGCCGGATCTTCCAACAGAACACGTCCTGCAAAGCTTTCAAACCTTTTGATGTCAAACTTCTACCCCGAAAAGGTCCGTCACTAATCACCCTTGAGAAAAATGCTCTACCAAATTCTCAAGCAATCAAAACACGAATAATTATACTTGGAAAAATACCTAGCAAAAGATCAACATTACATCAGAATCACGTCAGAACGGGGAGGACGGGTAACTCCGGGAAAACGTGTCTTACGTCCTGACCACTTACGAACAAATTCATTCCTCTGATAAACATGCCTTGACAAGTATACCAGTCCAGCAGCCTCCCTGCTGTTACATCCATTCCATCCTGAACATGAAACCAAAATAAAAACAATCAATCAATCCGGCAGCCCCCCTGCTGCAGCATGCATCCCGAAAAACCAAAACCAAAACAAACAACCTGCGACTAGGATCATGGAACAATACCTCCCCCCCCATGATCCCCCCCCCCCCCCCCC